CGTATTAGAGAAGTCTGCTATCTGATAATGGAAACTGTGAGTCGTGTTTACATACGAACCACCGGAATCACAACATTTGTCATATTATGGGATAAGTTTCTACGTTACGTATTAGAGAAGTCTGCTATCTGATAATGGAAACAGTGAGTCGTGTTTACATACGAACCACTGGAATCGCAACATTTGTCATATTATGGAATAAGCTTTTGCATTACGTATTAGAGAAGTCTGCTATCTGATAATGGAAACTGTGAGTCGTGTTTACATATGAACCACCGGAATCGCAGCATTTGTCATATTATGGGATAAGTTTTTACATTACGTATTAGAGAAGTCTGCCACCTGATAATGGAAACAGTGAGTCGTGTTTACATATGAATCACCGGAATCGCAACATTTGTCATATTATGGGATACGTTTTTACATTATGGTATTATACATTATGGTATTATGGAGGTCTGCCACCCGGGAATGCAACCAGGGTGATATACACCTTTATATGCAAATTCAATGTAAGATATATTTATATAAATATATAGAAAAATTCTAGAGTTAAAGGGAATTTGAACATTTTAAAACAGAATTTTCATTTTGTTTGAACCCCCAGAAAGTTCTAAAGCAGATAATTCCTACTGGAAATAATAAAATGAGTAAATGACCTTATAGCTCGCACTGAGGAATCAATGAAAATTAATCTCGAAGTTCAGATCAAAACAAAAAGTAAAATTAAAAGGACAAAAAAGAAAGTACTAAGTAATTAAAGGTAAGAGGAGAAAAAGCGTGATCATAAATTTCGCGCTTACTTTCGAAATTGCTTACTTAGAACTCGAGAAGAAGACAAACATTGATCCCCAAACACGTGTTCTGTGACCTCAGCGCCACCTGATCGTTTATAAACATGATGATGTGAGAAAATCGAGCTACAACATAAGTTAGAACGTTAATTAACATGAAATTATTTAAATACAGTGCCGTATCGCACATTATTTGCTGAAATATAATTCTTTCTCTTCCACGTCTTTTACTTAATCCAGATTTATTATTTATTTAAGTATTTTTTTTTTGTAACCGTGATATATTTTTGTTTTGTGTACCTGGCAACTTCGATGCATAATTAGTTTGTTTATGTTCCATACCTGTCTTTGTGTTAAGTAAGAAATATGTAGAGGAAGAATTGATATCTTTGTTAAAGAATCTTTTTTGAAGAATATAGAATGTGTCACTTAAAAGGATTGATTCTAGATGGGCTTGGCTTACTGGAAATAGAAGGGAAAGGAAAGTTGCTAACAATAGCAATGCCAGGTTTCAACAACCAATCAGGGTCGAGACATTCACACTACGTCACTTGTAGGTATCACATTGCCATGTATGTGATAAAGAAAACGCGAAATGCATCGAAGTGAATGCATTTATTTTGCGAATTCACTTGGAAATAGATTTCTTGTAAATAGTTTAATACACAAAAGTGAGTAGTACATTCTCCCAATATTAAACAGATAATTTTCGATATCTACAAGTTTCTGAAACATTTGTGTTAATAATTTAAAGTGACCCTTCAGAATAATGATTAGAAATTATGAAAAGTATTGTTTTGCTTAATTAACAAAGTAGTTAATTATGCACGATAAAACCCAAAGTTCTTGACTGTTTAAAACAACATTTTCGATTCAAATTTCTACTTTAGGGCCTTAAGCTCTATTTCATGCTATTATATATCCGTTTAGAATAATAATGAAACTCGGAGGTAAATTAAATGAAACCATGGTAAAAATAATAAATATTTTCTTCCAAAACAAATTAAAATTGTCATTTCTCTACCGTCACTGTCAATGCAATTAAACTATTAAGTAACCAATTAGTAAAATAGTTCGTTCATTTGTTAACTCAACTTTAGGAAAGATAATTAAATTATACCCTGATTTTAAACTTGTTTTTGACTGTCGAATTTTGTGTTTAGTTTAGCCATATTTTCAATACGATATTTCTATTCTCTAATTAAACTATTGGTCTTCCGTCGAAAGTGAAATAGAATGTCAAAAATACAGACATGTTTTGTCAATAAACTTAAAGCAAAATGAAATGAATAAGAAACTTTATTTTAACACTAAAGCTAGAAATTAGGATAGTTTGGCCCAAAATAATACAGTAATGTTTCCAAAAGAAATTCTTTACTTCAATGGAATATTTTGATCGTTGAAGTTTGACCATTTACAACAAAGCATAAACCAAATCGAAGATAAATAAACCGGTTTTTTCTTACAAATATTTAATATTTGTATCATTAGGAATGTGGTAGGGGAGAGTGGGGTCAATTGTAACATTTTTTACTTAACTATTTTTAACTAACAAAAAATCCAATACATTATTAGTATTAATTGACAGACGAGTAAAGTAGAATATCCTCTACTAGAAAAAAAAGATAAATACCTTATTTTAAATGTTATTATATTAGATATTAACAATTTCTGAAAGTCGTGTACTTGTTACAATTGTCCCCACTTACGGGGTAAATTGTAACAGTTCATAAATTCAACTAAAACATAGTTAATTATACATATTATCATAGTTGTGATATATTTTTTTATTGATCAAAATAGTAGTGATATTTTAGGAGTAAAAATAATAATGAGCAGAGACCTAAAGGGTTAAACTTTTAACTTTAAGGGGTTAAAAATTTTAATTTATGCTGTGAAAGGTGACAAATAAAATAATGCACATGCAACATAATATAAATGATATAGGAAACTATTGGTGGTTCTTAAAGAGTTAAGTAATGGTTTGTAAACATAAGATTATTTATTTTCAGCTGTTACAATCGTCCTTTTACTTATTGTTACAATCGTCCCCAAAACGCCATTTCAGCTTCATTTGTTAAAAACAATGCTAGTTAATTTACAAAACTAATTCTTTTTTTTTTGAAATCTAATTAAGGTGTCCACTTTACATATTCAGTTAATAATTTTTATTTTTTTAAGCAAAATTACTTTGTTACAATGTAATATTCTAATACCAAAAAAAGTACTTACGTAGCGTGAAAATATCTTTTGAGATGTAACTCTTTCAAAAGTACATAAAAATGGTTGCCAACAGGGGTGTACAGGTAGATTTATTAAATACACCTTGTGCGCCACCTGGGAACCAAATCTAGAACCCAACACTCAAAATCTTTGCTCTGTTACAATCGTACCCTGTTACAATTGATCCCACTCTCCCCTACTCATCAGAATTGAAGTCAGTTTTAAATGACGTGTGAGTACATTCCAAGAAATTTCCGTAAAATTCGAAGAATTGGCTGTTATTACTCTCCGAACATATATAATTAACGGGAGTCTCCGCCCCTTGTTCGCTCCACTGAACAACCCCTGCGACTGCCTCTCACTCACCTTTGTTATTTTTCCTTAAAATACAACTTTTTTTTTAAGAAAAAGCATCATTTGGTTTATAAAATATTCACTTATCATAACTTTAAAAACCATAATTTAGTTTATCATAATTAAATAAACAATATTTTAGAAAACCGATAATTTAGTTTATCGAATAAATATTAAAAAATTAATAAACTGAAAAAACAGTTTAAACTTCAGAATATAGAATGTGTGGAAATAGTAAATGAGAAGTTATTTTACTTATCAACTATCTATAGCGATTACGTTATATGGTTTCACAGTTGAAGTTGAAAACAATTCTCACCGCTCTTGAGATTTTCATATTTTTTTTAAAAAAAATTCTATTATATTATATTTTCCATGAAATTATCTTTGAAGAAAAGAATTTTCCAAAGTTTCACAAAATTTTCAATGTGCACAAGATTTTCAGTGTGCATAATATTTTCAATTCTCTTGAAAAATTCCCAAGATATAGTGAAATATGCAAAAAGTAAAATTATCATTAAGGGGTCCAAACTTTTGACTGCAAGCCTGGCTTCACTATTGGGACCATACCTATATTTCTACCTTTATAATTCTTCTCTATTCCTACCTCTATATTTTGGGGGTCGAAAATCCACATCCGTCGCAAAAAAAAGTATGTTTATTCAGAGACAGCACGTTTTTGTGCCTGATTTCGCAACTTAAAATATCGTCTGCACTTTGAGTCTCATATTTGAGGTCACTTCTTCGAACCATTAAGATTGAGTCTTAGAACGTAAAAATCCGATCGTTAGATCAAAAGTTATTCAGGGTGGTCCGTCTATTTTTTTTGCTCTCTCTTCACATAATTTTAATTTCCAAGGCATTTTTCGAGGGATAGTTGTTATGCAAACTGTCTAACTTTTGTTTATTCCGTTGCTTTTGTTTTTGTTTTTTTAATTGTTATCGTACTGTTTGTTTGCTTCATTTGTTATTTTTTTATTTAATGTTTCCAGTTTAATATTGCTTATGCGATTGCGCGGAGTGTTTTAACACTCTAGTGCATGATGTGTTTATCAAGTGCTGCTGCTAAAAATGATATTAAAAAAACTATTTCAATTTAAATTTAACCATATAATTTAAATAAAATCAAAATGGTGATCCATCTAAATGAAAGATCATTATTTTCTCTTAACTAAAAAAGCTGGAAAATCTTATATTCTATATAATTTAATTCCCGCTTAGAAAATTAAAATTAAATGTATCGCAAACTTACTCTTAAATGAATAAAAAAACTTTTTCCTACTGAGTTATTAATTCAGTACCTCGAATGCTAAATTTCGCTACGATGTCACAGATTGGTTAAAGCCATGATGAGAAGCAAAAATACTGCTTATGTTGCAATTAGGTTCTTATAAATTATCAACGCCCCAAAATTCAGGCGTCATAGCATTCACCCCTAAAGTTACAGTTACGCAATGATATAGAAGAAATAAAATAAAGTTTATTAACTAAAAAGAAAAGAGTCCATGTATTATAGGATCATTGTATTTTTTAATCACCTAGTGCAGCATGATTTGGACAACCCTTTTATAAAATGTTATAAGCAATTTTCTATGAATCTGAATCTGAAGTAAAGTTTTTTCTTTTCAGAAATGCTGCAAACAGTCATCGAGGAAACAGTGCAATCAGAAGACTACACACCATCTGGAAGACTACTCTGGCTAGGCAATGGAACTCTCCGGCAACCGGATTTTTACGTCACGGTTAAAAACAACGTCGAGAAGAAGTCAACTCTTCTGACGAAACTTCACAATTTCGTGCTGAGGGACGATTTAGAGTGGAGAATTTCAGCAATGGACCATCCAGATAGTGTGAACAGTAGTAGTAGATCTAATTGGACTAATCCTTATTATCAGTGTGAGAGTAAGAAGTGGTTGATATCATACACTAAAATGGTAGTTGGAGATATGAATGAGAAACTACAGTACGGTGATAGGTAAGTAGGATTCTAAACTGATCGTAGATTGTATGCAGCGTTTTCGGTAATCATAGCCCTTAAGGTTGTTTTTCGAAAGCTCTCTAGTCGTATGAAATTATGCTTCTTTATGAATAATATGCTACTTTCATGATGTGAGTTTGCAACAGTTACTCGTTACTGTTAGGTCAAGTTTAGCCTATCCGTAGTCAGCACCCCCTATGTTTATTCTGAAAACGGCGCAAAACGTCAAGATGAAAAAAAGCCACTGTTTTGAAAAGCGTTTGTGGTCTACTTTTTAATATTTAGAAACAAAAAAAATGGAAATAAGGCATTGATTTTAATAGTTTATATCTAAGCAAAAAAATGTAGCCAAATTGGCGATTTTTTAAAAGTTTAATAAAAATATTTTAGTTATTTGTTTGTTCTAAAGTCCCAGATAATTCTTTACAGCAAGAGGGCATATACAGTTTTAAATTATAGCTTTGCGTAAGGCACTTGCTTGAATTGTAAGGCACTTAAAATGTGGATATTTTTTTTCCTCTGCAAAAGAGCCACGAAAAACTGCATTAATATATAGATTTAGAAAACTTTTTTTAAACAAATAATGCAAACTTTTTAAAGGTCTTAAAGGTATTTTTGAGAGTAAAAATTTGAAAGCTTTATTAAAGTAGAAAAAGTCACTAACAAAAAAAACGAGATTAAAGCAAGCTAAGTTTGATTACTGCTTTAAACTTGAAGGTGTGTCTTCTAGCGGTGTGGTTTGTCAATCGTGTTTGGAAAGTTTTGATCTCGGTTTACAATAATGATTCATTTGATTTTAATATATTAGTTTTATTTCTCCGCCTAATTATTGGCCTGCTACTTCTATTTGTATGTTTTTTTAATTGTCCTTTTACTTTACTTTTTTATAACATATATTAAGGGGTATCACGGATCCTCTTGCATGTTTCTTTCACTTCTAAACATAACAAAAATATTAAGAATATTTCTAAAATCATTGATGTTTGAAATTTTGCTACCAAACCTTAGGCACCTTTAATTTGATAAGTCGAAACCTGTCTAATAATTTTAGAAACTGAAGAGTTTTACGGGCCACACAATAACTCTGTTTATCATCATTATGAGAGTAAATTCCCGTCCAAATTAATACACATATTAACACAAAGCAAAACATCAAGAAAAATTACGTAAAAAGAAATTTATCTTTAGCTATAATATATTTCATTTATTTATTACGACATACGAGAAATAATTTATTACGTATACATATTATACATTTATTACGTATACATAAAAATACGAGAAAAACTGAGATCGGAAAAATAACTTTTTCCTGACAAATGAAGTTATGAATTTGATTTCCTTTTACTGGTACAATTTCCTACAGACTTCCTGTTTCATCAGATATTGTCAACGGTCAGTGCTTTCTTTCAGTGCTCACTGAATGAACTCGAAACAAAACAATTTTATTTTTATACCTTTGCTGTTCCTAGAACCTTCGACCTTTAAACAAACTAAAAGTGATAAAAATATTTAAAAACCGGCTAACATGCAAACGTCTCGAAAGAATAAATATTCGTAACTCTTGAAAATATCATATCTGCGAATATCTTACCTTATCATGTAATATATTGTGAAAACAATATGTTACGGATTGCATCTTACATGCAATCCATAACATCTTGGTATATATATATACCTGATCTAATAACAAATCTTGTTATCGAAACAACATCCTCAGTTACTTTTATTTTATTCATTTTTTTTATTATTTTTTTGCTATTAAAACGGTAGAAGTTTGCTTTATTTATGAAATCAATTGTTTCCTCCCTAAAAAGCAAATCTTACCCATCAAGAAATATCTTGTTAATTGAATTCCATACCAAACAAATACATTATGCCAAGAAAATAAATTTTATTTTTTAACTGCCGTAGCACTGTTCTAGCAACACACATAAGCAGCTGCACTAAGTTTTATTAATAAATTTCAAAATAAGGATTTCAAATTAAGGATCAACAATTGAATAAGAAAGAAATTGTGTTTTGTTTTTTCAGAATCTTGTATTGAAAAACCTTTTATATGTAATCTAGTTGTGCATTCTCCATAAGTTACTGACTGTATTTTTAAATTTGCATTTTAGAAACAAAGGCATTCGACCTCAGAGCTGAAACTCTGTCCTTAAAAAATAGGCAATAAATATTATAAATTCTATTACATATTAAAAAAAAACAAGTGAAAAAAAAGACTTTTTGTTAAATTTACAACCGATTAGTTTTTAAAATGCGTAATAATTAGTAAAAAAAATTTTTTTTTAAATATTACATATTAAAGTGATACAATTTTACGATTGCTTTTAGAAGTATTATCTGAAAATTATAAATGCTTTAAAATCAATTTGGTGTTAATCTTTTTCGAAATGAGATCTTCAAGTCAAACAAGAACAATGTGTTTATTAACTTGAGTAAATACGAGCCCAGTTTTGAAAACGCACTTAATCTTATTCTATCTCTTTAAGCACCAGTTGCTTATTGAATTGATTTTAATTTAGTTTAGCGGGTTTTTCTTGTTTTACAGCTTGTGCTAAACATTTAATTTTGTAAGAAATCTTATTGGAACATTCTCCATAAATATCAAAGCTAAAATTTATTATGAAGAATTAAATAAATGACTGTGAACATGTATATAAATCATATATAATCATACTACCATACTACAAAATTACATATAAATTAGGAACCGCACAATAGGACATAATACAGTCACACTCTGCAATTGCGTTTTAACCGTATGCAAAATCGCGGACTTAAAAAGCTTGAATTGCGTTAAACAGTCATATGACCATGGTTCGTGGTATGGTTTGAAGCGTAATCCTGTGGTCCTTGGTTCGATACCCGGTATATACAGGGTTATTCATAATTGCCTCCACCTGTAAACGCCATTTTTCTTTACTACAACTGGCTTCAGTAGTGCATGTTACTGTCATCTACCGGCAACTGGTTAAATTAAAACTTGAATACTTTCGGAATTTCGGATGTTCTTTTTTGCCATATTCATCTTCGTTTTTTTTACTATAACGCTTCGAAACCCCGGAGGGAATTATGAATAACCCTGCATAAATAAAGCATCAATCTACCATGATTAATAAAAATTATCATGAATTCTTGGCCGTAGATGGCGTCACTGGAAAACAAGAACAATCGCACCCCCTCTGGCTAAACAGGCATACGTCAACAACATAATGAAAAAAATATTTTAAATTTATTTTTCTTTTAAACCTTTTATTCTCAGAAACTTTTATGGTTTATCATTTGTAAAACAATTTTTTTCTTTTTTTTTTTTTTTTTTTTTTTTTTTTNTTAATTTTTTTTTTTTTTTTTTTGGTTTTCTCTAAAACATAACTCTCTTTTTTCACGATTGAGAAATTATTGAGCTGCATTTCGTTAATTTTAGATATTTCATACCGTCGAGAAATATCGTGCAACATTAGTGAACTCTCAAATATTTGACGAAACTGCTTCTTTACTCGCGTTTTTATAAGTTCATTTTAGGAAATTTCTAACAAATTTGATCTAGTTTTAAAACCATTTACACTATCTGAAGGAGCGTGCTGGTTTTCTAAGCAGGCTTCTCGGGTTCTATAACTAAAGATTCGAGAACGTGGTACTCATTCACGTTCACATATTATTTCCCATTAAATTGTTTTCATTAATATGATACGTAAAGCTTGATGTTTTTCGCTAAAGTCGTACCCCGAAACAAGTAAAGACAGTATTTCTTTAATTTGACGAAATGTTTTCTCGGAGTTTTTGCCAACAATCGGTTTCGTCAATAAGAATGAAAGTTTTGCTAATTTTGAATAGATATTTTATACAAAAAATAATTCATATATTATCGAAATAAGCGAGCCATATACAATGAATCTGCTATTGGCAAAATACGCAAATTTCAATCAAATTACCTAAGATTAAATTTAATCCAAAATTGCACTTCAATACAAAATTGCACTCTCGATATGCATAACTAAAACATAGATTGTATGCTTCCCTGTAAGACAAAAATAAACTTAGACTCAATTTGTGCCTACACTGCTATGATACAACAAATCATTTGTATCAAGTTTATAACAAAATGAATGTACTCCAATAATGACAGCTACTCCAAAATGATTGCTGCTTCAAATGATTGCAGCTCCGAGTTATTGCTGCTCCAATAACTCCGAACTGTTGCAGAAATGTTTGTGAAATCTGCTCCAATGAAATCCACTCCAAAAAAATTTTATGCTTTTTTTAGAAACTTTTCACAAAACTGATTCAAAACGGTCATTTTTCAAAGACGCATCGTAGTCGTTCCAAAACAAATAGGAAAAGTTCTCTACGGCAAAATAGTAAAGTCATCAATAAATCATTCTTCTAATGATGATTTTACCAAGAATCCTCTGACAGTAAAAAACCTCCAAAAGTATATATTCGCTTTAAGAGTTGAACTATTGCTTTTCCGAATTGCACAAAGCCGACAAAAAACTGTTCGTCTCCAAGCTAAGTACTGTGCGCGGGAAAAAAACTAATCTTCCTGAATAAATTTTGATGTAATAACCGGACCTCCACGTACTCTATCTAGATGGCTCGAAGGGATTAATTTATAAATGCTAATTAATTAGTGTAGGTAATAGTTTAAGTTACGAAATCAGACAAACGTACTTTCTCAAATAAAAAGACCCTTTTTCGATGTATTTGGATTTCTGACCCTGAAAATGTAAGGGGTGGCCACAGTATGGGAAATAGGGTTATAATAGTCTGTTCAAAAAGTTTGTCCTTAGTTTGGACCCTTACTTCTTGCATATTTCACCATATCTCCAGAAATTTTTAAGTGAATCGAAAATTTTTGGACACTATTATAAAATTCGTTTATATAATGATAATTTAATGCGCAAAATAACGTTTAGTAAATATTTATTGTTTTTTTATTATTTTATTTAATATTGGCCAAAAAATACTGCATTTTAAGATGTAAAAATTTT